AAAGATGCTCCCCTCGGCCTCCTGGCTTTACCTAATGGAGCAATCCAGACGCCTTGGCTGTGACAGCTGCTTTAGTGGACTTTTTCAACTGTAAAATCAGAAGGGTGGTTGTGGATAAAATATACATGGCACATACTGGATAGTGTGCAATGGATTCCACTCTGGCTTGTGTTCACACTGTTGGTTGTTACTACTGAAATAAATCTGTCTACGGGGAAATGCATGTGACGGGGCAGACCCAGTGGTAAATAGCAAATGTTGCATACCATGGCCAGTGTGTGTGATGCCCTGTACCCTTGCTGGCCAGTGTTTTAATAAAGTCCTTGCGATAAAGGCAGCAGGAGCGCTCATAAGAGCTGGTCACTGGAAAAGCAGCCAGGCCCATGGATTTGGGTGGATTTGATTCCTGTTTGGAATCATCAAATACTAAACACTTTACGGGGCTGCAGGGGCAGAGGGACGGGTAAAATTGATACTGATGTATAACATTCACTTACCCTTGGAGTGCTTCCTTGCGGCTCCCTTTAGGGATTAGCTCCTTTCAGGTCAGAAGCCCCCCCCCGCCTCCAACAGTTGCTCACATCGTAACCCCCCCCTTCCCCCCAGAACTTGCAGTGCTCCTTCGTGACTCACCCAGCTGGCCAGGTCATTGTATAGTCCTCCCCTTGCGGGGTATCCAAGTGCCACTGGGTCTGCAGTCCGCATGCCATTCCGGACAGTCCTCCAGCCCAAGGCCAGGTCTTGTCACTTTCCCAGTGGCTGGTAGGGGAATCCGGGTCCACGCACTACTCTGGGTTCTAGCCCAGGGACTCCTATGTCCAGCAACTACAGATCCTGTCGCTATTTCCCAGGACTCCATCCTATTTCCCTGCTCTGTCTTCTGCTCCCCTACCGCTGGATTTACCCGTCCAAACTCCCTTCTCCCCAGAAGTGACTGCAGACTACTTCCCCTGCAGCCCCCTTTGTACCAATGAAAAACATGGGCAGTGGAGTAAAGGACAATAAGGATTTTTTTTTTGGGTGTATATCAGGAACAAAAAAAATACTAGCAAGGGGGTAGGTCTGTTACTCATTAGAAATGGTCAAATTGTCAATAATGATGCAGAAAAGCTAGACGTGCTCAATAAATTCTTTATATATTCATAAAGAACCTGGGTGGAGTGTACACATCTTGCAGTAATAATGAAATACTTTTTTTTCTGACAGTAACTAAGGAGGATGTGAAACAGCGACTACTAAACGTTTTTCAATTGGCAGGACCCAGATAACTTGCATCTAAGAGTTTGATAAGAATTGGCAGAGGACCTCTTTGAGCCATTGATGTTGATATTTAATAAATCTTGGAATCCTGAGGAAGTTCCAGAGGACAGAGAAAAAACGAATTCTGTCCCAATATTTAACAAGCATAAATGGGATGTCCCAGGTAACTATAGGCCGGCTAACCTGGCATAGATCCTATGCAGAATCATGGAACAGCGGATGCAGGATGCAGTTAGTAAAGGATGGTAGAAGTACTAATGCCAATCAGTGTGGTTTTATGGAAAATAGGTCTCGACAGACAAATTTGAAATCTACTTTGATGAAATCACAGGGTTAATCGATAAAGGGAACATGTTGACGTACTAGTACTTCAGCAAGGCACTAGACTGCCACGAGCGTTCTGATGAAGAGTTAACATAAAATAAATGCAGCATGTATTAAATGGATTAATAACTGACAGATCTTAAGAACTTACTGTAAATGGGGACTCCTCATTCAACGGGTATGTTTCTAATTTGCCCTGAATTTGCAGGCAGTACAAAAACTGGCAGCGTGATAAACAATGATGAGGGCAGGTCGTATATACAGGATGATCAGGGTCACTTGGTAAGTTGAGCTCACTTTAGCAACATGTGTGTTAATACAGCCAAATGGAATGTCCTTCAGCTAGGAATAAAGGAGGTGGCTCACGCTTCCTGGGTGGGGGCTATATCCTGGAAAGCAGTGACTCTGAAAGGGACTTAGGTCATGGTGGGTAACCAGCTGAACGTGAGCTCCTAGTGCAATGTGGAGGCCAAGAGGGCTAATGCATTCCTGATCTATAAGCAGGAAAATACTGAGTGGAAGCGGGGAGATGGCAGTACCATTGTATAAGACATTAATGTGACCATTGCTGGAGACCACTGCCAATTCTGGTGTCCACACTTCAAAAGGGATGTTGAAAAAATTGGAAAAGATTCAGAAAAGAGCTACAAGAATGATTCAAAGTCTGGAAATCCTGCCTTATAATGTGGGTGAGGTAATATCTTTTATTGGACCAACTTCTGCTGATGAAAGAGACAAACTTCTGAGCTTATATGGAGCTCTTCTTCAGGTCAGCTGGTCTCTTTCACTAACAGAACTTGACCCAGTAAAAGAGATTACCTCATCCACTTTGTCTTTCTAATATCCTGGAAACTACACTGCAGACTGCCTTAAAATGACATACTGAAGTAGCTTCTCCAGAAGGTTAAGTGATGACGTGATCATGGTTTATAAATACCTACAGGGGAAGAAGGTTGCTGATGGTAGAGGGTTCTTTAATTTAGTATACAAAAGCAGAACAAGATTGAGTGGCTGGAGGCAGAAGCTAGACGAACTTGGGCAAGTAAAAAAGGCACGTTTTTTAACAGCGTGGATAATTAACCACTGGAACCTTTTCAATAAATCTTGGAACACTGAGGAAGGTCCTGGAGATTGGAAGAAGGCTAGGTGGGCCAGTGTTTAAAAAAGAGTAAATGGGATGACCTGGGTAATCATGGGTTTGCCAGCCTGATTACGACCCTGGGTGAGAGTATGGAGCAGCTGATATGGGACTCATTTAATAAAGAATTAAAGGAGGGGGTAATATAATTAATGCCATGGATTTATGGGAAATAGAGCCTATCAAACTAACTTGATACCATTTTTTGACAAGATGACGGGTTCGATTGATAAGGTCCTAGTGTTGATATAATTCTTTCAGATGTGTGGTTGCCTAGTCAAACAACATTTTGATTGTTAAATGGATTGGTAACTGGCTAGCTGGTAGGTCTCAATATAATTGTAAACGGAATCATCATTGGAGGGGGCAGGGAGGCTTGTAGTGGGCTGCCAAAGGGTTTGGTTCTTGGCCCTATACCATAGGCACCAACTTTCTCTGGCGCCAGTGGGTGCCTGCGCCCCCCCGCCCCTTTCTCTGCCCCGACTCCACCTCATCCCTGCCCCTTGCCTGCCCCCATTCCAACCCCATCCCCAAAGTCCCTGCCCTAACTCCGCCCCCTCCCTGCCCCTATTGGATCCCTTCCCCAGCCCCGCCTCTTCCCCCAGCACGCCACGTCCCCCCTCCCTCCCTGTCCCGTGAATCAGCTGTTTCACGGCGCAAGCGCTGGGAGGGAGGGGGGAGAAGCAGGACGCGGCAGCGCGCTTGCAGAGGAAGAGGAGGTGAGCTGGAGCAGGGGGGTAGGGTGGGGCCATGGGGAGCTGCCCACGGAGTCTGCACCTGTGCCCTACACCATTCAACATATTTATCGATGCCCTGGAAGAATATGTTAAATCATCGCTGATAAAGTTTGCAGAGGACACTGAGATTGGAGGAGTGGTAAATAATGAAGAGGACAAGTCATTGCTACAGAGTGATCTGATGGCCTGGTAAGCTGGGTGGCAAGCAAACAACGTGTGTTTTAATACAGTCAAATGTCAAGTTATGCTGCTAGGGACAAAGCATGTAGGCCATGCTCTATCTGGCAAAGCAGTGACTCTGCCAAGAAAAAAAAATAGGGATCACGATGGATAATCAGCTGAGCATGAGTTCAGTGCATCACTGTGGCCGAAGGGGCTAATGCCAGCCTGGGATGTGTAAACGGGAAAACCGAGTCGGAAGGTGATCGTTGTATTTGGCACTAGTGCATTTGCCGCTGGGATACTGAATCCCGTTCTGGGGTCCACAGCTCAAGAAGGATGTTGCTAAATTGGAGAGGGTTTAGCGAAGAGCCCCGACAACTCTTAAAGGATTAGAAAACCTGCCTGATTGTGATAGACTCAAGGAGCGCCATCTATTAGTTTAACAAAGAGGCGGTTAAGAGGTGACTTGAACACAGATTCCAAGGCCAGACGGGATCATTGATGACCCCCTGTATATCATTGGCCAGAGACCTGCCCCCAAAATAAATCCTACACCAAGTACCTTCACGGGGAACAAATATTCCAAATGGGCTCTGTAATCTGGCAGAGGAAGGTAGAACACGATTCCATGGCTGGAAGTGGAAGCTAGACAAATTCAGACTGGAAATTAGGCATCAGTTTTTAAACAATGAGAGCAATTAAGCAGTGAAGTAATTTTCCAAGGGTTGCGCAGGATTCTCCATAACGCAATTTTTGAAAGAAAATTGGATTTTTTTCTAAAAGATCTGCTCTAGGAATTATCTGGGGGAAGATCTAGGGCCTGTGTTATACAGGAGGTCAGACTAGATGATCAGAGTGGTTCCTTTTGGACTTAAAATATGAGAATTCTTTTTTTTTTTTGTATCAAATATAATTCCAAGTGATGACACATCACTCAAATTGCCTAATATAACGCATTTACTGGGAAAAGAATTCTGAGTTGAATTTAATTTGCTGCATTTCAGTTGTGCATGTTCTTGCTGGGAGGAGTGTGTTGTAGAACAAATTTTTCAGCAGAAATACGCATCTTAAACAAGATATTTTGGTTTAAAGTGTTCACTAATAAAACTATTGTAGCATGTCTTAAGTGCTTGTAAAACTGCTGACTAGGGCTGGGTGAAATTTTTCTGTGAATAGTTTACACGTTCGGGTCAGCTGAAGGCGTTCATGAATTTGGCAAACCGTTTTGGCTGGAAAAAAGGAGGGGGGAGGTTTCTGGAAAAGTCCATGTTTGTTGTTTTTGAAATGTAGCTAGGTGTGGGGGAGCGGAGTGAGTGGGAGGAACTTTTTCCCTGTTTGGTCAGTTCGAGGGCTGAACCCAATCAGTTATTTGCCCAGCCAACACTATAATCCTCATGGAGGGTCATGGGTGCACGTTGCCGAGCGTGGCCAGATTCCATTTCAGAGCAAGCCCTCCAGTGTCTGCTGTCGGATGCTACCTCCTATTTGCGGCTGATGATCCAGGTAGGGTTGCCAGGCCTGTGGTTTTTAATCGGAAAACTGGGCCGTTAAAAGTCTGGTCGGCAGTGCAGCGGGGCTAAGGCAGGCTCCCTGCCTAGCCTGGCTCTGTGCAGCTGGCCGGTATGTCCGGCCCCTAGGCGCAGGGACGATCAGGGAAGCGCTATCTGCTACCTCCGCCCCCAGCGCTGGCTCCGCATCTCCCATTGGTTGGGAACGCCGGCCAAAGGGAGCTGCGGGGGCGGCACCACCTGGCTGGCTCTGCCTAGGGGCCGGACATGCTGGCTGCTTCTGGGAGCCTTAGCCCCGCTGCGCCACCAGCCTGAGGTAAGTGCCGCCCGGTCGCAGCCCACACCCCAAACCCCCTGTCCCAGGTTGGAATCCCCTCCCGCACCTGCCCGGCTGGAGCCTGCACCTCGATGACCCCCCACACACACCCGCTCAGGTCGGAACCCGCTCCCGCACCCAAACTCCCTCTCAGAGCCCCCTCCTTCATCCCCAACCCCTCCCCAGAGCCTGCACCCCAACCCAACCTCCTGCCCCAGCCCAGTGAAAATGAGTGAGGGTGGGGTAGAGTGAGCGATGGAGGGAGGGGGGCTGGAGGGAGTGGGGGCAGGGCCTCAGAAGGGGTGGGGAAAGGGTGTTTGAAAAGCTGGCACGCCTAGCATGCAGGGTGGGGCTCTGCAGAGAGGCAGAACCAGCCAGGTTTGCAAGATGCGGAAGCAGGACGTCATTATGCTGCCGCCACTCCAGAGAGCTTCCGTACGGTGACCAGACAGCAAGTGTGAAAAATCAGGACAGGGGGTGAGGGGTAATAGGAACCTATATAAGAAAAAACCCAAAAATCGAGACTATCCCTATAAAATTGGGACATCTGGTCACCCTAGGCTTCCGTGGCATGTTGCGCGAAGCGAGGTGCACTGCTGGCTTGATCGCCATGGGTTTATGGTCAGGAGTCGGGAGCCGTCTTTTCCAGCAGCTCTATGTGCTTGGATTTCTAGACTGAGCTGGGTCGCGCGCTTTGCTTCTCCATCTCTGGCGGCTGTGTTGGTCTTTGGACAGGCTGCGTGGAAAGCCTCTGGTGACGTGTTTGTAAGGAGCAGCGCTGAAGGGGGAAGGGTTGGAACTGGGGCTGCTGCGCACCGGCTTCGGGCTCTGTGTCAGTGAAGAACTCGGCCAGTGGTGGTAGAACAGTTTGTATAGTGGGGGTGCTGAGCCATTGAACCGAACCGTAAACCCGGTCTGTGATGGAAACCATTGGGACCCCCTAGTTCCAGCCCCCCTGCACTCTTGAGAGAGAAGCAAAAAGGGCTGTAGTGGAGTCTCTGACCCTAGGAATGTTTAAATCTTTCTCAAAAGGAGCCGTTCTCGTTCAAGCAAAGCTATTGGACTAGAAGCAGGAAGTTCTGTGGTCTGTGCTAGGCAGGAGGTCGGACAAGGTGATTGCAATTCCTAGATTTGCAGAGTCCCAGGCCAGAAGGGACCACTGTGATCCTCTAGTCTGCACTGCTGTATAACACCGGCCAGGGACCTGCCCCATAACAGTTCCTAGAGCAGAGCTGGGAGGGAAAAAGTCTGGTCTTGATTTAAAAACAGCCAGTGATGGAGAATCCACCGCAGCCCTTGGTAAATTGTTCCAGTGGTTACTTAACCTCACTGTTAAAAAGTTCTGCCTTTATGGAAATAAGTCTGATTTTTTTTGTCTAGCTTCGACTTCCAGCCACTGGATCGTGTCACAGCTTTCTCTGCTAGATCTAAGAGCCCAGTGAATGGTCCCTTCTGGCCTTAAGCTATAAATCTGCAGATTGACCTTTGATCTCTTGGTTGGGCACCTCCATGCCCAGGTGGCGAGTCAGAGTCTTGACAGCTGGCATGACCCCAGATACGCCTGCGGTGCTGCAGCTTATCCTTGCGTGTCCGGGCCTCTGAAGCTGGATCCCAGGCTCTGCTATGCCTCGTGCACCTCCTCGGAGCAGAAAGTGATGAGAGCCTGTTTGTTCCCCAGCGCCTCACCCCTCTGTCCCTGTCTGGTGGGGGAGCTGGTCAATAGGAGAGCCACACCCATGCGATGTCTGGCACCTGGCCATTCCCCCAGCACGTCCTCACACCCACCTTGTGGATGTGCTGCGGAGATCTCGGAGGAGCAAGTCTGGGCGGTTTCCTCTGGGAATGCATTTCTGCCACAACTAGTGGGCTGTGGGCTGCGTTAGCACCTGTGTCCCCGTCAGGCAAACGTGCTGTATTTGGCTGGGAAGTTATTGGAGGGAAGCTGTAGCTGAAGTTGAAAGCCTTGTTAGCTGCCAAGGTGCAGTCAGCTGGCTGTCGGTGGTTGTCATTCTCCAGGGCAATATGGCTCTTGCCTTAGGAGACTTGTCTCTCCACAGCCTCCTCTGCGCTCCCTGCTCCCCCGGGGATCCCTGCATGGCTTGGGGACTGGACTGAACTCTGCACACACAGTGCTGCCCCCCAATAGCCTTTCCCAAGCTCCCAGGTGCCTGTTGTGAATGTGCTTTCTCATAGCTGGATATCTCTGCCTCTGCTTGAACAGGGCCCACTGCTAGCTGGGAAGGTGGATTAATGTGCCAGGTACCTTCCAAGGCTCACATGCTTCCAGGATCTCTATCCACACAGTCCCAGGGAGTCTGGATCATGTGCAGATTGGCTCTGGTTTGGGGATTTGTCCACCAGAGCCATCTGTGGTGTGCCCCTCTAGCCTTGTCTTGTGGGACAGCTGGTCAATGGCTGGCCTGTGCTCTGTGCAGCCCTCCACTTGGAATCGTGAGTTGGGGGTCACCGGTCCAGTTTCACCCCTGCTCCAGTTTAACTGGATTATTTTTATAACCACAAATTGCAAACCCAATCTCCTTAAATACCCGCTCTCTCTAGGCGCGAAGAGTCACCCTTTAGGAGTATTCAGCTAGTGGATTTTTATGATCTATAAAGCTGTGACAATGTGTAACAAACAGATGAAGTGATTCACCCACCCCAGCCACCCAACGTCTGGTTACTTGTTCCACTAGATGCGAGGAAGTGAGTGGTCAGTACAGAACCGTGGTGCGGCCTCCAAAGGCGGAGGAATTATTTCAAGTAGCAGAGGTTCACCGAATGCATTCACACTTTTGTATTAATTAAAAATAAACATTGTCAAATATTCTGGCCTTGATGCCCAGCCATGGAGAGTGAGTGTGTGTGTGTGTATACACACAAGCATATTGCATACGTGTGTTTGTACACGTCAGTGCATATGTGCACGTACTTGTGGTAGTGTGTGCGTTGGTGCTGTGCAAGTACTCCTGCGTGTGTGTGTGTGTGTGTAAGTGAGTGGATGCGGTGTATGTTTCTCTGCATGGACGTGCCCTTTCCTTGGATCTTCCCGCTGGCTTCTATATCTGAGGGATTCTCCCCTCCCTGCTCAGCTAGAAGCGAGTGTGTGGAGAGATCTGTGGGAGGAGGTGGGGCTATGACCCCTTTTCCCCCTCCTCCCTGAGAGCAGCTTTCAGGGCCCAGGTGTTCTCAGTGACTAGCCAGGTATGTGTTATGACAAGAGGGTTTATTATGGTACTTAATGAACCAGGGAGCTGCCCAAGCAACTTCGCCTGTAAATCTCTCCATTAGGGCCTTGTAACAAGGGTGTGATGCAGGCACCCTGATCTCCATTGCACTGTAAAGCCACCTGGGAAATTACTTTCCCGGCTGTAGCTGCTCGGTGCAGCTGGCTTGGCATAACTCAGCAAAGCCGTCTCCCCAGGGAGCCCCATTCTTAGCGCGGCAGCAGCCGCATTCCAGAGACAGTTCGCTCTGTGTGCAGACAGATCCCGCCTGCTCTGGGAAGGAGCAGCACGCAGCCCTAGTAAATCATGGAGTAAAAAGCTGCCGGTGGTTGTGTGGCTCTTGCAGTGGGTTTGTTGGCTCTGAACTCTTCCCTCCACCTGACTCCAAGTGTTCCCACACTTCTGATGTGGATTACAGGGAAAGAGACGTTCCTGTCACAGCCCACCCACATCTCCTAGGTGTGGGCAGTGGTATTCCTTCCCCCCTTTGATTTCCTGCAGCCGAAAAGCTGCTGAGCAGGAACCAGTAAACTGGACCTGCCAAGTTCTGGAGACGCTCCCAAGGCACTGCCAGGAAATGAGCCGTGGGCAGGCAGGTCTGCAGAACATGAGGGCCCCTAGCTCTTGCCTTACAAAGCTGTAGGGGGAAGCTCCGGGAGCCAGGGGCAGGGTGTACGTGGGATGGACCCTCACTCGGGAAATCCGTGGCAGCTGCAGTCTGGCCATTCTCCGGGTGAGAGCGCCACATTTCTCCATTCAGGTGGGCTGTGGGCCTTCTGAGATTGACTCTTTCCGACTCTCTCATCAGCTCAGGTGCAAAGCAGCGGAGCCGGCTGTGGTGGAGCGTCGTGGAGTGTGAGCTCCATGCTTTGAAGATGGTAACTGGCATCCAGTCAGCCTAGCTCCCATAGAAACACACAATCGCTTTGTGCACCTGTGCACAGCCCAGCCTCTGTGCTCAGCAGGATTCTCATTCAGTCTGTTTACCCCAGGATTCTGGCCAAGCTTCCCTCTGGACAAGTGCACTCTCCTGGTCTGCAGCTTCAGTTGGGTCTAGTGCTCTTTACTTCTCGCGGAGTCTTGGCATGCCCGATAAAACTGCTGTCATGCTCCACTCCAGAGGTGGCTGCATTTCAGGGGTGGATGTTTTCTGTGTTTTCTCCCAGAGGGATTTGGCACTGGATATCATGGTGATGGGTGCAGTATAAGGAGCCTGACTAGAACAGAATGAAATAGTGGAAAGTACTAAAGTAGTGTGAAGTCTTATTTCCCTGACTGGTATGGAGCTCAGCATGTCCAAGGAGAACAACTAGGTGCTCAAATGCAGCACCTGGAACACACCTGCAGGGTGTGGACAAACAGCGTGGTGCTTTCTCATCTTTTTTTTTTAGTGCAGAACTTGATTTGCAGAGTCTGGTTAGCACTGAGATTGTGGATGGTGTCAGTGAAGGGAAT